ATCATTAATTTAGTATCGTGTCCAGTGAAAATTGCAACACCAATCATAAAATCAGTATTTTTCAATGAAGATCCACGTAAACAAATTTGTTCGGTATCAATGGATAATTTCTTTCCATTACTCAATACCATTGTACCTTCAAATTTATATAATCTATTGTTTGGTTTTTCACATTCCACAATCATTCTAGTTTTATCAAGTGCTTCAGGTGTTGAAAGTTCCAAAGTTTCATGACGACATCTCTTAATTTTTAAATTAGTTTCACTTTATATCCAAATTAATATGAATTCAATTGATTTTCCAATTTCCAATTTAATAAAATCAACAAGTTAATCAACATTCAATCCATAGAAATAACATACCCATCCAAACTTGAAGTTTCAACATAACATAAACCTTGTGATTCACTTGAAGAGACAAGAATTAAATCACAAGGAAATGGTTCCTTATTATCTACTTTAACAATATCACCTGTTTTTACATCTTTCCAAAATATATCCTCAAATTTGTCACCTCTCAAAACATGAGCAATTCTATTATTTGTAACTCTATCAGAATAGAGTCTTTTAATATCTTCATAAGCATCTTTAATCATTGTACAAATCAATACTATTAATAGTCATATATTAGATTTTGTTTAGTATAATACCTCCAATATAATACTTACCAAATGCTAAAGGAAAGAATGCTGTAAATTGACCTGTTGGTGACAATGTTGGAATAGTTTGCAAAACTGCCATAAATAAAAAATCTATTTTCACAAATATTTCATCATCCATTATTCAAATATTGTACAATTATAATATTTCATCATTCAAATAAGTGATAAATCATTAAAATACTTACAACAATTTGCAAATCTATGAAATTGTTCATATAAATTCTTAAATAAAAAGTTGTAGAAAGTATATTTAGTAGTCGTTATGGAATTATCAATAAATTTGTTGGTGGCGTTTGACATTTCATCATTTGCAAATAGTAATCTAGTTTTTGTTGCATCATGTTGTTGTTGAATATTAAAAGTATTAAAGGCTCCAACTTCATTCCCAGTAAACATATCCGATATACTTCTATGTTGTGTTGATGGATTATTAGTACTATTATAATTAGTATTAATTGTTGCAGAACTCATAATAGCAGTACTAGAATTTGACATTACTAGTGTTGTATGTTCACGAGGTGATGTTAATGATGATGGTAGTGGTAGAGTATTTTGATTATTTGATGATTCATTCGAATGGTCTACTAGGGAATTTCCATCCCTCTGTTGTTTTGTTATTATTATTATTATATAAAGATGAATATAGTAATATTACATATTAAAATTGTTGTGTTTAGAGAATATGAAAATATACATACTGGTGTTCTGGTAAATTTGGCTTTTAATCTTTGAAACATGTTTTAAAGCCTTTTTCTTCCGAATAAATAATGTTATATGATATACTATTGTAGTTTTTGTGTTGATGATGGAGAGTGTTGATGATGGTGATGATGATAATTGTTTTGAAAACACAAGAAGAATGGATAATACTATCTACAAGTATAAAAGTGTGTTGTCCTATTCTCTATTCAAAGATAATAAAAACAATCAACAACAATAGTAATGGATAATAAATATGTTTTTCAAAGAAGAAGGCTTTGTTTGTTTTTGTTTTTCTTTTAAATAACTACTTGAGTATCAAAGGTGGGAGAATCTTTTGAGCTTCCTTTAATCTTTTGGAAGCCACGGCCCAAAGTAAAGCGCTCATTTTGAGTCCGATTCAAGTGAGGCAAATAGCGCTAGTTTCTAATAGTCTACAAGAATAAATAGTCATGATACCATTTCGGAGTCATTGGAAGGTTTAGAATAAGGGAGGAAGGAAGAATATTCTAATGTAAAAATAAGTCAAAGAACGATTTGGATTTTCAATGTATTGCAATTTGATAATATACTTTCTATTTGAATAATACAAGAAGCTATTAAGGATTGACTTTAAACTCTAAAAAACAAGCGCATTTATTTGCAAGTAACTTTGGGATAGTGTTTAGTTTTTGAAACAAAAATCAGATACCGACAATGGGGCTCGAACCCACGACCCCAGGATTAGAAGTCCTGTGCTGTATCCAACTGAGCTATGACGGCTTTACGTTTCTTAGAGATCAAAACATCTTACATGAAATCCTTGATATTTTTCTGTAGGCTCCATATTTATTTAGTTTAGATTGATAAGCTTTTAACGTCATGTGCCACATCATTCTTTCATAATTTTATTCAATGGGATCTATTAAATCCAAATAATAACTATGTAATAGTTACAATAAAAAAATTAAATATTAAAAAATGTCATCACAGTGTGATGATTTAACTCTTCCGAATAATCAAACCAATAAAACATTAAAAGGTTATCAATCTAAACTAAATAAATTACAAACAATTACATATAGTGATTTATTTGGATCCAATGATTATATTAACGGTTCAATTATTTGCATTTATTCTGATAATATTAATTATTTAATTTTAATTTTATCTAAAGATGTTAATACTATTCATGTTTTAAAATTTAATTTTGATCCAATTCATAAATTAATCACAAATAAGGAAATATTTACTAAATATGCATTGAAACAGGATGTTAAACATTATCAATATTTTTATTCATTGAAATGTGAAAAATGTTTTTTAATTGCAAATATAATTAATATTCATTTATCAGAATTATGGAAAGTTGAAATTGAAAGTGGAAATATAATTTGGAGAAAGGAAATTCATGGAATTAATTCAATTGTTCAAGATGAAAGAGGAATTTTATTTTTAAATTCAAGTATTACTAAAAATGTGCAATTATTAGATTCCAAAACAGGAAATTGTCTTGGTAAAATTTCAATTGCATCTGGTCATAGAATTTCAAATCATATTGGATTGGATTTTAATAATAATTTACTAGTTTCTAGTTTTACTAGGAGAGGATCATATTTACAAATTATTTCTAAAAAAGGCAACATTTCAAAAATAATACCATGTACACAAAATACGATACTCACACTATCAGATCCATATTATAAGAAAACATTTATACTAGAATCAGGAAATCATGTTGTGGATGTTTATGATTCTGAATATACTAAATTAGAAGTATTGAATTTCACTTCACCAATTTTTTTATTTGCTTTTGTAAATGATTGTAATTTTATAATAACAGTTGGTCCTAGGGAAATATCTTTATTTGATTGAAAATCAATAAACAAGAAGAAACCAACACTCTTGCTTATAAAGATTACATCAAACTGAGGATCATCATTAATAAGCTTATTTCTTTGATTTTACTCCAAAATAAGTGGCAATCAAACCACTTGCAGCAGTTAATCCAATCAAGGAAAACAACTTGCATTCATGTTCTGATAAGAACAGAGTCACCAATGCAATACTGCTCAATATGTTGGCACAAGTACAACCAAAACCAGTTGGCCAACCAACACCTCAATTCCACTGATAGGTAGCTCCGTATATTTCATTTTTTTAATTCAAAACAA